TCTTAAATAATGTTTTTATATGCAGATTGTTTGCTCTACAAACATTTAGTGCATAAAATAAAATTTTCGGTACATTACATCAAGTTTATGCAGAAGAGAGCATACAGTTAGAAATTAGAATTTGTTTCATGATAACAAAAACTTTTTTCCTGAACAAAGATCATTAAATTTATGGAAAATTTGACAGTGTTTTGTAAATATGACTCACATGGCATCATGATTCAAAGAAAAGAGTTCTTGTATTACACTCGCGCTACACATTATGTAAAATAATTTGCAATATCTTTAATATCCCTATGAAAAATAGTCCATATTCATGTAAAACAAACAAATACCATTCTTAGGTCACTGTGATAACTTTAGTTTAAATGTATCTATTTCTTAATTGATATACCTTATTAAACCTTTCTTGAAAGGATACAAAAATCATAGTTACTGTATACAATCATAAACAATATCTACTTGTGAAATATAAAAAGAGATAAATTTCTACAAATCAAGCAAAAAGATACATGTTTAACATTACTTATGTTGACCATTATGCAACTTTCTAAACATTAAACAATAAAATATATTTTTAACAAGTAATATAAAAAGGTTAAAATATACTATGAATTAAAAAAAAATTCAAAGAAAACTATCAATTCTATAATGGAACAAAATAAATAAGAGAGAAATGTCCGTTATATAAAGGGAAATAACCATAAATATCAGAAAGCATCTACTTTGTATAAAGCGTTATAACACTGCATATTTGTAGCATGGATTTTCATTGGAACATATAAGAAAGCCACTTTAAATTTACAGTTTATATTGGGTAAAATTTCCTGCAAAACTGTACACAATAATGTATTAAATTGTGTATATATTCAATAATTAGTTGATTAAAATAAATTATTACTAGCATCAAAGACCCTGCTAGCATAAAGTAGGTTCTGGCACACACAGATTAAAAAAAGAATTGAACTTCTATATTTTAGCAATTCATTAATTCTATTTACTTCAACACTGCATATTTGTGATGTTGATTTTCACTGCACAATCATAACTAGTTATAATCCTATTCATTTACAGGGCTGCTGATATTCTCCAATCATAACCTACTCTCTTAGAGTGAAATGAGTGACACTTTCAAGATAAAATCATCTTAAAAAATGGGTAAAACACATTTCTTTATATGTCATGTTCTTCCTTCGATAAACTAATAAATAAAAATGAACATATTCTTGACACTTGGATAATTACAAATATAGACCTTAAGTGAATGAGAAACATATAGACGGAACTCAAAGCTAAGAAACTGGGGAAATATTTTTGTAATACATGTACAGTAAAAACTCGCTAATGAGACCAATGAAGGGACTTTACAAATCTGGTCTGAATAGCGGGTTGGTCTCATTAATGAGTTTGGTCAAACAGAAAACCAGGCAATATATTAAGGGATATCATGTACTGTACACATGTTTAATTCTGGGCTAACTTATTTCAAATGAGAAGATATTAAGCATACACTATTATTTTTTTATTTTCATTTATTTTATTTACTTTTTAACATTATTTCTTTTCTTCTTTAGAGGTAAAAAATGTATTATGCATGTCTTTAAATACAAACATATTTTTTACATTCTTATTAAAAGAATTACATGACTTACTCAATTAAATCACCATTTTACTACAAAGCACATCGACCAATTAACCTTTAATTATTTTCACAGTTTTCATAGCCGATAACTACTTCAAAAACCTAATCGTATCAGGTTTATGTTTGTTTAAAATTATGGAAGAAAGAGATACTGATAGAAGCAACACCTCTAAAAAACTTATTGAAAGTTTTCTGTTAAATGTTTTGTTGTTTTAATCCACCAGTTATGATATTAAAGGTGTGAATTTAAGAAATTATCGACAATATTATTGATCATTTCCGGGTTTGATACAAAGTAACCTTGATCTCTGCCGTAAATTGGATGTTGTTAAATGTCGTAAAACTAGGACAACTGTTGTTACACTACGTGTCAAAAAGATTTCAGCAATATACATGCCTGTCAATATCAAGGTGAGAAAGTGCCCGCGGTCGTATTTATGGGTTTCCAAATGTACAGGATTTACGAAATGGGACTGAATTTACTGGTCGTATTACGGAATAACGGGGTGGTCTCAAAATCGGGGTTAGCGACCATTAAAATAAAGAATAAAAAAATCGGGTCTTTGAAAAATCGTTCGTATTAGCGGGTTGGTCTCGAAAACGGGGTGGTCGTAAAGCGGGATTTTACTGTACTATTAATAAGTTCTATTCTGTTCTGTTCTAACAAATGGTCACAAATAAACAAGCTATATGGCACTTGGTATGTTTACATGAGTAACAATATTTTTGGTTATATGTGTTTTTTACTTTCCCCTTATTCAAATTTTCTTAAAAAATTTTAAAAATTTTGGGAAAGTAGGGATAAAAATGGGGTAAAAAAACATATTTTAATGCTTGAAAAAAAAATAGTAAAAAAAACTGTGGAAAAATTTTATAAAGGCTTTTTCACATGAAAAACAACATACATTATACCTTAACAGCTACTTTTCAATATAAACTCTACCTAAAAGGTGTGATTTTTTCACCATAAAAAAGGTTAATTAACCATCCTTTTGGAAGCCAAAATATTTTTGATTCAGTTCAGACCTATACAATTAGGAAGGCAAAAACTAACACCACTATTGAACAATCATTGAAACTGGTATTGAAGTATATATGCAACAGATGGCAAGCATTTAAAATTTACAGTTCCTTTATATAATAATGTTCTTTTTTCATTATATAAAGTTAAAGTAACCATAGTAAGGGAGACAACCCATTCATATCTTTATATGTTTACATTGTAAGAGTTATTGTTCTTCTTCCTTGTAAATGTACTCCCTTTGCAATGCAGTAGCAAATGTCTTAAGGAATTCTTTTAATAACATCAAAATAGTCTGTAATTGGCAGTTAAAATTTTCAAAAACAAATGAATTTTCATTGGGAAGTAACTCTTAGACAGACAAACAGGGTTTTAAAAACCCATTTATAAACATTTAAAAAACCCAAGGAAAAGTTTAGTGTAAATAAAACCTGTAAAAATTTTCCACAAAAAACCCCTTTATAACTTATTTAATATTTAACAAAAATCTTATTAAAAAATAAGAAAAAAAATATAATTAGAAAAAAAAAAAAAATTTTGAATTTAATATTTGAAAAACAAGGCAAAGGGTTTTAAAAAAGTTAAAATCCTAAAAATTTAACTACAAAAATGCCAATAGGTGTAGCTTGAAGACTTTATATGGGTGGGGGGGGGGTTGGTTGGTGTAAATCAAGCTATTAATGACACAGTCTATTCCACACACATATCATATATCATAAAACAACATGCTTGTGTACATCATGAAACTAACCAGCACATATTCTGAAATGATTGGTGACCCACAGTAAAAATTTCATCAAATTGACCAACTGATTGTCATAACTTTGAATATAGCCAATTCATTGAGACTATGGTGAAAAATTATCAAATTTACATTCTAAGGCCTATCATTTGTCATCAAGATTAACAAACCCTTTACAGCAGTAAGCCTCAAAATGAATGTTAATTTTAAATAAAAACTTCAAAATTGTTTTAAAGAGCAAAAACATTGTCTAATATACAAATCTATCACACACCCGTGCCGATTTTGCGACTCCGTAAATATGGTATTGCACGGCCGTGCATATATTTTGACGTGACGTCATTAGCGTTGTACAAACATTAGTGTAAAAACCGCTTTAAATGTTAGCGTTAATATGGCGCTTGATGAAAAATGACTCTATTATTTCACTTTAAACGGTTTCTTTATTTTGGGTATTTGATAAATAGGGAATATTAAAATTCGTTGTAAGTTCATTTACTGAATTTATTGCCCTTGTTAAATAAAATGATTATGCTCGCCAAGAGGCTCGCATTAATATAATTTAAAAATTCCCAACTTTCATGCAATAAATTTTCAGTTATTGAACCCTAACACTCATTTTCCAATTCCTCTATTTGTTGATTTAAATTTCTGGCATATGACAATGGTTATTACCAATAACTTGTGCAAATAAGCATCAATTTGTCTTACTCTGTTAGTAAAAGTTTGTAAAACTTTGGAACAAGTAAATTCTGTACATTTAACTTTTTACCTGGATGTGAATATATATTAATAGTCACACCTGTGTTAAAGACCACCTCCAAACAAAGACCACCCTGTAAATAAAGGCCATTTTTGACAACCCTCAATTGATTAAATAGAACAATGTAACCTTCACTTAAGGACCACCTGTCTATAAAGGCCATGCTCAGTCTCTACCTTTGGTGGCCTTTGTTCACAGGTTTGAATGTATCTAATACAATAAATTAATTTTCTTAAGTGAAATTTTTTTATGATTAATTAATGCTACTCATCTTGTGGTGTGTAGCTTTAAATAAAAATATTCTCCTATATTCAGTTATAAAGCTTTCAGCACTCGGGCTTTCCAATTTTAGAACTCCAGGTTATCTATATAAAACAATTTTAACAATTGTAATATTGAATTCATTCAATGAATACATAAAAATATACTATTTTACTCTAGTGTCAAACATATACATTATAGCCTAATAAAACAGTTAGTACTTAACTAATAAAAAAGTATTTAATAGGGTTCAGTACTTTAACCTTTTCAGTTACATACATTTTCTTATCTCATTAACACAGACTGTTACAATATTAAATTTTGTTCATTTGAAAAACAAACTTATATCAAGTAAATAGGATATTCAAAAGCCTACTTAAATAATAGGTCTTAAAAACAAATGTATCTAAATGCAGCATACTTCAGTTATTTTGCAGTTAGCTGAATTGTCAGAGAATCATATAAGCCTTCTGAACTTTAATTCTCATTATAGAAAAATGACCTGCATGTATAAATAAAATGTAATAAAATAATGGTCGCAAATACATTTTGAACACATCATTTGAAAAATATTTAAACCATCTGTCTTACGATAACAACAAAAGTATTATTATTTAAATGATAACAATTATGTCATAGTATGTACTAAAACAAATTTGTTCTAAACCACACCTATACAATCCCAATGAACCCCACGGAAAGCAAATGGACAAATTAGAAACAACTACTGTATACAGTATTCAACATCAACTTCGGCCGGATGACATCCTCTAATTGGTCAACACTATAAACACCTGCTAGGCTGCTACAGGGATATGTTGCATATTAAATCACAGGGTCTTCTACTGGTATTTATTACTATTTATAGTATCATAGCGTGTGTGTGATCCCTATAATTCATCAAGATGGTGATTCCTCCGCTATGTTTGTTTCTTTAGGTTTTGGTTTTGGTTTATAGAACAATAATGGGAACATTCCTAATATACAGCCTATTGAGACTCCTATTGCTTTCCCCTGAAATAAACAAACAAATAATTAGAATATTAAGCAATTAATTAGAATATTAAGTGCTTTATTAGAATATTAAGCACTTAATTAGAATATTAAGCACTTTTGATACCCATCCAGTCTAAAACAGATTCAAACAAACCAGGCCTGAAGCATTTTCAATTTTGCCATATTGGGCTTTTATTTAGAGATCCTTTTTTCCCTCTATAATATACAAAGCAAGCAAATATAAGCTATTCCACATTATGAAGAAAAGTTATCTACAGTGCAACCTCTGTATAGTGGCCACGTACAGAGCAATATATCCTCTTTACAACAACCATATTAATTTTTCAAAATGTAAGACTTTATAATAAATTTAAAGCAATACGTCTCAGCAACAGTCTTAGGGAGTGACGCTGTGTAAAGGTTGCACTGTAAATTCAAGTATGTTTCCAATGCCTTTAAGCCATGGTTATGCAAACTTTGCAACAAATAACATCTACGTGTGGCTAAATTTAATAATTTATTTTCCCTGTACTTTAAATGCATTGATCTATACAATATCTGCTTCTGCTAGCCACAAACAAGGCAAGACGTAAATTGTACTTTTCAATTTCTCTCGTGTAAATCAAATAATGTCTGTACTTTCAACCTTTACATTTTATGCATGCTTAATAAAATGCTTTATTATATACATATAAATGAAATATTGAGAATTATTAAGGAAGTAAAATGCTTATTTTCGTTGTACTTAATTTCACTGTACAAATTTATTTTCAGTGGTGTCTTGTCAGACTTCTTTCTTTTCAATTCAGCCAGTACACAAAATTTAAGGGAAAATCTTTCAAATCATAATGTTAAAGAGAACAAAAATGTAAATAATAAACAGAAAATTAAAGTTTTGTTTCTGTAAATACACAATTTATTTTTATCTTGTGGTATAAAAATTATCATGTGGTATAAAAAATATCATATGTAACATGTGGCTGAAATTTTTATTTTCATATCACTCGAAAAAAAATAGATCCTGTATCTATAGAAAAAAACTTGAATATCCTTAATATATCAGGAGGATATGACTGTGTGAATGAAATCTACAATGGATACACTGATTCAATTTTAGTGGTTAATAAGAAACTTTACATGCAAATCCTGAAACATTTGTATGGACAATATTGACATAATTGTCAGTGGAACTGTCCCATAATTCTTCAAACAGTCAAGCATAAATACAATTAATGGCATACTGGTCTTACTAAAACCTACTACAATGGTAACAACAACAGTTTTAGATATATGTAACCATGGTGATAGTGGCACAAGAAAACTAGAACTCAGATTTCTAAGAACTTTTGTTGTATAATCTAAACTACAATAAACACATATGATAAAATGAAATCTGTCCATATATATTTTCTGATTTAATTAAAGTATTATATCAAATGGTACAAGAATGATGTAAGTTCTTACTATATTGGAAGACCATCTTGTGGAAGACATATCAACTTGTTCTGGTGTGAGTGCCGGTGCTCTAACTCCAAACTTACTCGTTACCACCTCTACATAATGAGCAGTTCTAAAAACAAATTTAAACAAAATATTAGTTGAACAAGGCATTTTAAGGGAAAACAAAAATTTACAAATAATCTACAAATGGAGATATCTCCCAATATCTATAATTTTCCTGACTTTCTCTATGATCTATGTAATCACATTTATTTATTTCTTAATAACTATTAAAGGAACACCACTGAAGTCCAAAAACCTTCAAAAACAAAATTCAAAATTCTTACGTAGATAAGCTGGGGCACTTAAAACAGAAAGATAATATGCAAAAGAAAATTAAAAAATATACTTCAAAATATATTGAATATCATAATAATTTTTTTTGTGCTATAGTTCACCCCTTTGAGTAAAAAGTGTTGCAAGGCTTTTTAATTTTGGGTCATTTTTAAAACATTTCACACAAATTATTGGTTTTGAGCTACATCAAAATTAATGGAACATCTCTAAAATTATTTCTGTTACTGTCAGGTCAAAAACCCTTAGTGGAGTCTCTTTAACCACATGTAATGTGAAATCTGTATATAACATGAGTAATTTGATAATATTATAAAGAGTAGGCTTTAAGTAGAACTTCCTAAAACTCTTGAATTTATAAAATTTATAAAATATACATTTGCTGTGTACATCCATAATTATCTGTGTATATAATAACTGCTTAATATTTCATACATATGCATGTTCTCACTCATCACATCCTGTGTAATCATACACTAAACTACATCCTATATATCCATGTTCTTGCTTAAACTTATCTAGAACATGAGTAGGGATCATGAATGTCCCATACAGATGGCTATATTATACATGTACTCTGCTCAAGATGTAGATAAAGTGTGAATATGCAATAATGATTTTACTTGTATTATAATATTAACATATACAAAGTCAAGTCTCCTATAACTCTGTAGAGAGTGAAAATGTGCCTTTTAATTATATTAAATATATGCTTTTTATTTATGATATGTTGTATATACTTTTTCACATTGATGAGACTATAATAAAGAATAAAATAATTACATTGTAACTAAATTGTGTATTGTTAGTAATTTAGTAAAATAACTTCTTTTTATTTCATAATTAAAATGTTTATAGTCAGTAACTTATAAAATGACTTTTTTAAAACAAATAAATCGTATTGTAAAATGTGAGTGTGTGTTTTTATATTCCTATTTGTACTTTTTTGTTGATATTTTAATTATTTTCTTACTTTAAGAAAGAATTGCAAGAAAAATGGCATTCTCCTGTCAAACTTTTTTTTTGAATTTTAATTTGTTACTTGGATTTTAAGTCATACCAACTCTGCCAATGTCTTATGGAAACTTTCTTAGGCTTAAGTGTTCATTGGTGCATTGAGAAGACCTAGGGTGTCATATTGTGCATTACTTCAGGTACAAGACTGCACCTGAGTACGAACCATCAACCTTCTATAAGCTTTAACTTCTTCATGGCCTCTTACCTAATAGCTTACTGATGAGATCTTAACCCATAGTGGTGACAGAGAAATGATATAATAAAATATAAGTAGCTTACTGTACTCCAGCTAAATCTGAGATCCAGTTCCCCAAGGCAGCAGCTGAAATATACATAAAATACAAGTGTAATTTAATGATAATAATTATAAAACTGATCAATAATTACTGTTAAAAAATTGTTGTTTTCATCTAAATATTATATTATACTGAGCTACATCAATAATATTTATACTACATACTGTATATCATTTAGATAAAACATTACATATTTATGCACATGATTGTGAAAAAGGTTTTTGGCAACTTATATATCTCAAGTTTCCTTGAACTTAAATTACACTAGTACTTCTGTGTTATATAAGGAAACATGAAGTCTAAAGCTTCCTTCAACACTTCATTACAGGTAGAAGCCTAGTTTTAAATATAGTGGGAGCTTTCTTGACCAACTAGCATAATTCTTAATGAACCATGTAGGAGTCTTCTTCTCTGCTTTTTGTCTGTTTTAAAATTCATTAGCCAATAAATGATCAGAGAGTATGAATGGATATAAATATGTATTTAAAATGAAATATGTACAAAAACACTCTAATATTTGTTATTCCTTTAGCATGTTTAGTTAATGTCAACTAAAAAAGCCAACAAAAATTAATATAATTATTGAGTTGCAGTTGGAACACTAAAATAATTTAAATTTTAAACAAAATTTCTGAAATTTGCTTATAATGTCTACAGTAAAAAGGTAACTCAAATAACTCTGAAAATATAGATATCTTCATTAGTTTATAAGTTACCCTAGCCTTGATGATATTGTCTAAATGGTATTGTCTGTCACTTTGTATTTGGGAAATGTCAATTAGTCTGGATAATTTCAACATTCAATCAATCAAAACTGAGCAGCTGACAGTATATATATAGTCTGTACTATGTGCAAGCACTCTGCTGGCTTAAAACTTATAAACTAATGGCACAGACAATATTTAAGTAATTATTTGCTACTAAAAGTATAGAAATACTTTATCTCAATGATCTATTTATAAATCATAATTACATGCAACAGTTTACTAAAATCAAAAATGAAAAAACAAAAAGCAAAACAACAAAAATATAATAAATGTAGACATTTTTTTATATTTAGACAAATTATATTATAAGATAAATTATATATTATACCTAAAAAAATCTTTCAACTTTATTCATTTTGGCACTTTAAAAATTGAACTAATAATGCCTGTCTGGAAAAAGACTAAAATTGTCATGTGATTGGTTAATTATTTCAATTTTCAAATCTCTTGTAGCCAATCAAATGTGTAAAAGCTTTAGACTGGTTACTGAAATTCAAAACTTAATAAACCCAATGCAAAGTTTTGGTAAGAAATAACTTTTATTGTGTATGCCAGTCTATATAGTTACCTGCCATTGTAGAGATTCCAAACATAGCACCAAATTTAAACTCAATGTATTCTCCCTGTAAAAGAAAAAAATGAATTATTTCATTTTTAATAAAGATGGTATTCTACAAAAATAATAATTACCTTTTTATCACAGTGAGTCTGGCTAACAAAAGTGTGGGTGGTTTTATACTTTAAAAACACTTGTCTGACTAAAATCTAGAGTGTATTGTTAGAAACTTAAAGGGACTCTCCATTGAGGTTTTTTCACACTCTCAGGGCTGGAAATATTTTTTGAGAATAATGTTCCATTTGATGAAGACCAATGACCTGTGCACACAATTTTAGATTATTCGCTCACTCTTTTTTTCCAGAATAATTATTCTAATTTTTGTAATTGTGAAATATGACAAAAAATTGAAAAGCTTTGAAACGCTTTTTTCAAATTGTGCTTAGAATACATGTCTACAAAAATATGAACTTCAATATATTTCTTTTTGATGTTAGCATATCTTTCTGTTTTTAGACAATTTACGAATTAAGGAACCTTGTGACAAAACCATGAAATTTCACTCCCACGTGCCTTTATTTAGAATTCTTTTTTGTCTGTCAAAAACTAGAAGAAATATGTTATCAGATTTAAGAAGAAACAATACTGACTTATAACATTAAATCATTAGTTTTTCCCCCATAATTTCATATCAGATGCTTTTAATGTCCTGTTACATTATACATGTACTTTGCATAAAACATCATGGTGCAAGATCATCTGTTACTAAGGCACACTGTACTACCAGACCAAGATTTACATTTTGTCACAACGTAAAAAAAGTTTTCATTTAAGAAGTGTAAGCCAATTATGATTAAAAACTGATCAGAGCCGTTTAAATGCAGTATATAGAAACAATTTCAACAGATGTGTTTAATCAAAAGTAATAAATGCATTATGTTCTCTTATTTAACAAATGTAAACGTCTATTCAGTTCATTATTGAACACTTTAGCATGATGTTGATTAATATAAAAATAATGAGATATTTTACATACTAAGCGCTGTGTGACAAGTAAAGATATGTACATGTTGTAAGTAAAAATGTTCGGCGATTAAGTTTAAGATTATTTTGCATTTGCTAGGTAACTGAATTTTTTTAACAAGAAAACGAAAATCCACGAATTTAAGAACCCACGAAAATGCCCTTTTTGATAAAACCACGAAATTTCATGCCCACGAATTTAAGTGAATTCGCAGTACATATTTCAAAAGGTTGACTATTCTATTGTTACACCGTCACAATAATCAAGCTATATAATGGTAAACGTTTGTTCCAGGTATTACTCATTTGCTTGGATAAGCTGTCTTCTGGATAACATCTATTAGAATCACTGTTTGAGAACTGCAACATCTACTTAAATGATTACTTTATAATACTATAGAATTTGGGATTGAACATAAAATTTGATATGAGTCTATGACAGTGTATTTGCTTTCACAAGCACTTAAGTAATTGGATCCAGCATGGAGAATCTAACGGTTTCACAGCATTAGTCCTGTGAAGTCATTTGACATATTTAACACTCCTTAATTAAGGAATGGTTTGTAATGTTGACAGGTCTCGACTTATATATGCCAAAACTCCATCTTAAATTACTTTTCGTTTATATAACAAAAATTCTATCACATTACTGAACTGTTGTCATTCACACATGAACCTAATTAAGTTAAATGACAAATGTTAAAAAAGAAATCTGAAACTGATAAATATGATAAAAAAAATCCTATTACAGTCGCAAATAAATTTTTAGTTGTTAAATTCAAACCTTTTTTGGCACTATCTGCAGTACAAAGATGTATTACATGTAAAGTTGGTGGTATTGCATCAACCTTCAATTAGATTTAAGTGTCAGCACATGTACAATAGACCCAAGGTGTGAATTGCACTGATTGAAATTATATAACACTAAGTGACTTAAACTGCATTCAATATCTTCTTTATATTATAAAGAGTGTGAATGACTAAAAAAAGACAGACTAATAATTTCACATCAACTAGTGTATAACTGCTTATATAAAACAGTGACAAGAATCTTTCAAAAGATATGTGAACACAAACAGCCCGCATAATTATTATGCAACATATGTTTCAACAAACAACAACCCTGTCACTAATCAATACACGGTTCCCATTCATTCCTAACAAATCATTAACATCATTATATCATAAAAGGCTGCTTCCTCTCTGGGGAACAACAAAGTTTGCTTGTCTTCTAACTTTTATCTTATGGAACAAAATAATGATTTTGATAAAAGCGAATGCTCTAAATTATTGATAAAGGGAGGTAATTAATTATAATGCAGTGTAATCATGTACTTTTATCTTTTTATGGTGTTGACATTAAAGGCACATTACAACTCATTAATGCTTTCATTGTTATTTCTCAAAAACTCGTTATTATAAGAGTTTTAACAAGAGCTGTCCGTAAGACAGCGCGCTCGACTTTTTTATTGCTTGCCAATAAAAAAAGTTTTTGCAGTAAAAGGCAATACAAGAATCTCTGTATTTTTAAAGTGAACTAGTTGTTTGATACCCTTGAATATTACAGCAATGTTTATATGACATAATTTATGGTAAAGTGAACAAGTGGATAGGAATGAATTTTTTTAGATTTTTTAAGTTTTTTAGTGCTTGCCTATAATACAAAACATTGACAGTTAAGGGCCATAATTCAAATAAAATCTTTGACAGAATTACCTTCTCCTGGACATGTTTGGGAATCATGATTGTAAACAAGTATTCCAACTTTCAAATTAATATCTCAAACAGTTCAGTCAAAAAGTGGACTGGTACTAAAAACTTAACCAAGATTCTAAGTCGATAAAAGGCCTTAATTTTAAAAACAAATCCTTGACAGAGTTACCTTCTCTTGCGTACAGATGGGGGTAATGATGTGAAATAGCATTAAAAGTTTCAAAGCAATATCTCAAAGGGTTAAGGCAATAAGTGGATTTTACCCATATTCAATGTATTTTCTAAGTCAAAAAGGGGCATAATTCTGTCAAAAACCTTGACAGAGTTATGTCCTCTTGTCTGTTGATGAAGGTCGTGATGGTAAACAAGTATGGTCAGTTTCAAAGCAATACCTCCAATGGTTTTGAAATAAAGTGAGGTGGTACAAAAAACTTAACCAAGCTCAATACACTTTCTAAGTCAAAAAAGGGCCATAATTCTGTCAAAAACCTTGACAGAGTTATGTACTCTTGTCTGTAGATGGAGGTTATGATGGTGAACAAGTATGGTAAGTTTCAAAGCCATACTTGTAATACTTCTGAAATAAAGTGGGGTGGTACGAAAAACTTAACCAAGGTGTGACGCCAACGCCGACGCCAACGCCGACGCCGACGCCGGGGCGAGTAGGATAGCTCCCCTTTTCATAGAAAAGTCGAGCTAAAAAAATTATACTTATTTTCCATATACATGAACTATCTTTTGCTCTGTTGGCAAATGGTATATAATTTTAGTAAAATAAGTATTTTGTATGGAAGTTAAAGTACTTCTTTCTTTATATTTTGCTACATTAACAACACATTATTGAACCTTCAGTGCTATTTTCTCCAACTGTTAAACATGTATGCTCTAAATCAATTACTAAAACATTATAAAACACATGGTTGACATTTAAAGAATAAACAAGAGCACCGCTAGGCGGAGCATTATATGCCCGAAAGTGATTTTTTTTTTTTTTAGTAAAGATGACACATTTGTAAGACATGGGAATTAAATAAAGTATAACCTCCTTCAAATAACAATCCTCCTTTGAATTTTCAATATTGTGGTCCAAATGGAACTTAAGTAATGCCCCAGAAACTGTTTTCAATTCTAAGGTAATAGTGACCATGACCTTTGACCTTGTGACCCCAAAATCATTAGGGGTCTTCTACCCAATATGGACAATCATACTATGAAGTTTAAACACAGTAGGCCAAATGATACTTAAGTTATGTTCCGAAAACTGTTTTAAGGTAATAGTGACCTTGACCATATGACCCAAAATCAATAGGGGTCTTCTACCCAATATGGACAATCATTTTATGAAGTTTGAATATTGTGGGCTAAATGGAACTTAAGTTATGCTCAAGAAACTATTTTCAATTTCTAAGTAATAGTGACCTTGACCTTTGACCTTGTGACCCCAAAATCAATAGGGGTCTTCTACCCAATATGGACAATCATCCTATGAAGTTTGAACACTGTAGGCCAAATGGAACTTAAGTTATGCTCCGGAAACTGTTTTCAGTTTTAAGGTCATAGTGACCTTGACCTTTGACCTTATGACCCCAAAATCAATAGGGGTCTTCTACCCAATATGGACAATCATCCTATGAAGTTTGAATATTGTGGACCAAATGGAACTTAAGTTATGCTCCGGAAACCAAATGGTAACGGACGGATGGACAGACGGACAGACGCCAGGGGGTATAACATAATATGTCCGAAATTCTTTCGGGCATATAAAAAATAAATTTCTGAGGCATGATGTGCCTTTAAAGTTAAACTTTATAGATGCATAATTATAATATATTAATTCACTGTCATTTACATGTGAAGATTTGAATGTGACCTGTTGCTGAGAAGTTCAAGTCAAAAGTTCATCTTTTCTCTTTATTTTACTTAATTGTGAGCTTGTGAAAGTCAACTTTCAAGTCTTATATAATCAGTAATAGAAAGAGCATCGAAACACGAGGCTATCTGATTTGTACGAGGGGGCGTAGCCCCCGAGTATTAATCAGATTGCCGAGTGTTTTGGTGTTCTTTCTCTTTTGTATCATAGTCAAACATAAAAGCACGTTCCCTGTTGTCACAATATGAAACCCCGGCAAAAATGAACCAATGAACGAACATCTGTTAATGACATTTCTGTCGCTTTCCCTTTCTCTGCCGTCAAAATATGTAAACCCCAGCAAAAATGAACCAATCAATGGGCATGCTCTGGAGTGCGGGTAACTAATACCCGCACTCCAGTTAACGCACTGTGCATGTATATGTATACGATTTAACCCTGACACATTTTCAACAGAAAGGTT